ATTCAAATTGTTGCTTGATGGTTAATGAATTTAAGTAACTCTTTAACTGAAAAACGCCTGGGAAATCTTTAAAATTAAGCTTACTCCAATTTATCATGTTTGATTTATCCACGCATACGGTAATAGCGGGATACGAAATTTTACCCAGTGTAGATTTGTCGTATAGCACGTTAGTAGTGGTTTCATACGAAAAGTATAACATGCTAATTTTATACGTTTGATACGTGCACCCGCACATACATAATGCAAACAGTATAAAATTAATGATACTTTCTTTTGTAACATTTAACATGGTCAAATATAATTATAATATAATCTTTTAAACAGTTCTAATTATTAGATTTACTTTTTATAAACTAAAAAGTATGCTCATTTAAACATTTAAACTTTTATATATTAAACATTTAATTTTACATTTGACATCAAACAACTTAAATACGTTTATTGTATTATTACATTTAAAATAATATTTCAAGAAATTATTTATTATACAAGATCAATACAAAAACAATTTTTAATTAGCATGTTTATCGTATGTATGTTATATTTAATCAATTTTTATTTACATAATTTAAATGCATTCTACGTTATGTTTACAAAAATTTAATAGAAAACTATTGATTTATATAATTAATACTATATAAATATAAATATAACTATTATGAAATGTACTTTGAGTTATGCAATAAAATACAAACTACTATACTAAAAATATATCATTTATTTAAATATTGTGTAATGTTTTATTTTTTTTGATATAATATAATATAATTATTTTGAATTTATAACCACAAATAAGTTATTTAGAATGTACGGTAATTTAACCTTTATAATTTAAATATTATTTTATAAAATAAATAATATACTATATCTAAAGGTTGAATGTAGTCTAAGTTTGTTAGTTAAGTAATAAAATCTATTTCCTATTAAATGTATAATTTAATAATTATTTTAACAAATTGTATGAACAACAAGCAATATCACCATGAATAAAAAGTTACAGTTTTGTGTTAAAACTACCACTGCCTTATATTTAGCCAATTTTATGATTAAAATAGGATTTACACTACTTTTCACATGAAATGAAAACATCATTTCACGACACAATACACTCGCAAACATTGATTACAGTGGACATGGAGTTTACAATCCGATGCTTGCAATCCTATATGTATGGCTACAATAGTATACTAATCTGTTTTGCAAGCGATGAACACACGGCTAAAGAAATGTCAAAACATTTTAATATAATATAACGTTTATGTAACGCTATTTTTTGAGTCAACATCTCATTTATAATATAAAAATGAAAATATTTTTTGCATTCAATTGAAAAGTAGTGTAAACGTGTTTTTTATACATTTCTTACGAAATGAATAAAATGCAAACTCAATCTTTAACTTTCATCGCTATTTCACACAAAATTACAAAATAATTAAATATTGTAATTAGCAAAAAATATCAGATGCGACCTATACCAATTATAAATAATAGCTTCAGATTTTTATACAAGCACATTTAGGATTAATTATTAAATTACAGCTTGCAGACAAATTAACAAAACTTTATTAGTTGTTAAAGTTGTAGTTTATTACAAAATTCATAAAAATGTATCGTTGTGCATGGTATAATTCATTTAAGGCAAACTCAATCTCTTTGGCTTTGATCCCTATTTAAAACAAAATATTAAATAATTTGAAGTAGATTTTGGGCCATTTTAAAATAAATGTCGTATACTTTATACAAGCATTTTAATTATTAATTATGTAATTACAGCTTGTAAACAAATTAACGACATTTGATTTGTAGTAAAACTTTTACTGTAAAAGTAATAATTCTTTACAAAATTTATGAAAATGTTTCAGCCAGGTGATTACTTCAACATGTTTAAATCTTTAAAACTATAAACATGAATTAAATTAGTTTGCAAACTAGCTAATAAACATCATTTTCATGAAACAATAAACTATGCCAGCTGTAAGTAAATAATTTAAAAATTTTGCTATTGTTGAAAATTTAATATTTTAAAATCAATTAGAGTTTTCAAACAAATTAATAGATTGTTGTTATTTTATGTATTGGTTAACATAATAAAAAGTATGATATAACGGTATTTCTTGCTAGTTTTTTCTAATAAGCATAAATTTATATACATGAACATTTTGCATTAATTTTAAATTACAGTTTTTTTATAGCCATTGCGTTCACATACCTCTTGGATATGCCGGTGCTGTTGGTTCAGGCGATTCATGTCTAATGCAAACTCAATCTCTTTGGCTTTCATCGCTATTTCAAACATAAATTCAATATAAGAAATTAGAAACAAGTCCAGTTTACCACCCATTTCTAAATAATAGCCTCAGATTTTAATACAAGCTCATTTATTATTAATTATTTAACTACAGCTTGCAAACAAGTAAAGTCTAAAATTAATAATTGTTTGATTATTATTAGTATATAAGTTAATCCATAACCCAATATGTTTTAAATACTTTAAACTGAAAACATTCATAAAATTAACTACTTACTCAATTACAGTTTTCAATCGAGCTTGTTCATCTACACGCACAATAAACTATGTTAGTTGTAAGAAAATATTTAATTATCTAGTTCAAACTTTTATGTAAATTTCTATTAATGGGTTTACTCGGTATGTGAATCCAAATTAATTTGTTTCTAAAAGTATTTTATTAAATAGATTTTAAAAGTCATGTTAAAATAGCCATATCGTTAGGCACATCCTGTTTATTAGCCAACACGACGACCACCACGTCCTCCATCTTCCTGTCCATCGCAATCCTGTTTATCACACACACCTGACCTCATCCATACGATACCGGTCGCTGGCGTTCACGACACGTATCAAAACATAAGTACCCGCGTAATAAATCCCTGAACCTTTTACGAGTATCTCGTAATCCCATAGGATATACGACTGTCGCTTATATGTCATTTGGTATACCCTTTGGTGGGCAGTACTGGTCGTACGTACGTCTCTTGCCATATACAGTACGAGTCTATTAGCTATGGATGTTATGAATTGGTATTTAGTATTGACTTAATTGTGCCCATAGTAAGAGCTACCTTACAGATAACAGTTTTAATGATGCTAGTTACAAAAATTTATACATTTAGTAGTTGATTTAATTAAGAGTTTTATAAAGATGTTAATAATTCCTATTATTTGTATTGTTTCTATACGTATATATCAGATATTTTAAAAATCAAAAACATAGCGAGCTAACATTGAATTTGGTTATAAATTTGTATAGCATTTCAATATTGTGCCCATATAAATCTTTATTAAATAATGTTCCACATTTAACAATTAATGTATCTTTAATTATGTTAAAAACTTTGTAAAGAATAATTATCAATTTTGGCGTAAATACTGCGACTCAGTGTTGGCTTTGCTTTCAATTTCAACCGGAATGGTAGCAAACAGTCGTCCAGTTTATAGCCATTCATAGCACATACCTCTTTGAAACATTTCAATAATTATCAATTTTGGCGTAAATACTGCGACTCAGTGTTGGCTTTGCTTTCAATTTCAACCGGAATGGTAGCAAACAGTCGTCCAGTTTATAGCCATTCATAGCACATACCTCATGGATATGCCAGTGCTGTTGGTTCAGGCGATTCATGTCTAATGCAAACTCAATCTCTTTGGCTTTCATCGCTATTTCAAACAAAAATTTAAAAATATTTATAATTAGGAAAAATAGTTCTCGATTTCCCATTTGGTAATATTAACATCAGAATTTGATGCAAGCACATTTATTATTAGGTACTTAATTACAGCTTGCAAATAAATTAACGAGATTTTATAAATGTAACAAAAGTGGTAATTCTCAACACAATTTGTGAAAATTTTTATTTGGGGGCGTACCATTGTATTTAGATCACTTTACAACTAGAAACATCATTTAAATTAAACAATTACTCAATTACAGTTTGTAAAGTATCTTTCTCATTTTCATTTTCATAAAACAATAAACTTTGTCAGTTGTAAGTAAATAATTAAATAAATTTACAATGCAATGCTAAAATTTTAAATAAATATCTGTTAATTGGGCAAAAAGTTTATTTTTAAAATTATTTTTTACAACAAATTTAAAAATCATGTGATAATAACGCATACCGTTAGGCACATCCTGTTTATTAGCCAACACGACGACCACCACGTCCTCCATCTCCCTGTCCATCGCAATCGTATGCAACACATCCTTGGCCTCACCCATACGGTACCGGTCGCTGGCGTCCACGACAAATATCAGGCCATAAGTACCCGCGTAATGGTTGCGCCATAAATCCCGAAACCTTTTGCTTCCCCCACAGTCCCATAGAGTATACGACTGTCCCTTATATACCATTTTATATACAGTATAGCCTTTAGTGGGCAGTACTGGATATACGTACGTCTCGTTGCCATATATGAATCTATTAGCTATGGATGTCTTTCCACTCGAGTCCAGTCCCACCATTAATAGCCGCTTATGATTATGGGTATAGTTATGATGATTTAGTTTTGACTTAATTGTGCCCATAGTTATGAGCAAGCTACTTTTTTTAACACAATGAATTAACTGTAATACAGTTATATACGATGCTAGTTACAAATATTTATTTAATAAATAGTTTATTAAATTAATAATTTAATAAAAATGTTAATAATTTATAAATTGTTTTAATATGTATTCTGTATTGAATTGTATGTAATTTAATATTAAGATACCTAATATGCAAATATTTTGTGTACATCCCCACTACTCGCCCCCCCATATAAATATTTGTAAATTAATTATTGTTAATATAACTTTAAAAAGTTTTATAATTGCTTTATATCCATAACTTTTATTGTTTTATTATTTTTTAATTTATTATTAATTTTACACAATTTTGTGTTTTGTTTCAATGATTTATCGCCAGTTTATTATTTTAATAACAATTTGCTAATTAATTTCAATGCATTTCACAATTATATGCATTTCACTCAACACTACAATTAAAAACCCGTAACTAATACACAAGTCATTGAAAATAAATAGCGTTTTTCACACATTCATAAAGGTTTTGATATTAAAATAAAAACAAAATTAAACAAAAAAATATTAAAAATTTTAATTCAATTTCTATGTCTAGTATTTCAATACTCATTAAAATAATACATTAGATTTGCTTTCAATTGTCGTATTTTTACTACCTTTCCATAGTACTGTAGCACTGGTATTATAGTGAATGGCGAGTATAAATAAAATAAAATAAAAAGTTTTTATTTAATAAAATACTCATAAAATGCTTTTCGCTGGTAATTAGGGTCAAGTATATACGGCTAGTGTTGAGTGTATGGGCGCACAGGTATGTTAAGTGATACCGGCTCTCTCTCTCTCTCTCTCTCTCTCTCTCTCTCATGTCTCTCTCATTCACTGGTATTTTGATTAAAAAGATTTAATTTTTTAGTTTTGTTTTCCATTTTTACGAGTTTTCGAGAGAGAGAGAGAGAGAGAGAGAGCCTTAAGAGAGAGTCATATTATGTTTAATGAGTTTTGATACCATTTTTGGTGGCATTTCGTGAAAACCTCTGAGAAAAACATAAATAAAAAACTTTTTTTTCGAAAACAAATAAAACATTAATAAAAATACATTTCGTTTTAACGATTCAAATGTCAATAAATGCATACAAAATGTTTAAATAGTTTTTATTTAGTTTTTAGTTTGTGTTTCACTTTCAAAAACTTTCAAAAAAGCATCAATTTTCATATGATTAGTATCGGGGTACAAATATTTAAAATGCAATAAAAAGTAAAGTTTCAAAAGTCGTATAAAAAAAACTATTTTCAGAGACGACACGAAAAAATACTTTTAATTTTTATTTGCGTTTAACAGACGTATAAGAAGTTGAAGGGAAAGGTATGTCTAATAGGGAATGCCATTTAAAACAGAAATGCACATTAAAATAGTGCCAACATTTTTATGCCCATATTATACACAAATGCACTAGGATACATTATGTGTTTATGTGTTATATAGGAATTCCTATCCAGATATCACTCATATAATGGGAAAGGTACCCTAAAAATCCTTATCATAAACTATTTTGTGCTTGCTAATCAATTCGTTTCATACAAATATCTATGAAAAGTTTTAACAACTTTTTTTCACTCATGAAAATCAAAATCACACATAAATTGATTGGTTTTAGTATAAAGTATTAACATTTCTACCATTCCTTGCATAATATGGGGGAAATGGATGTTTAGCATGTAGATCACTTAATAGTGTAGTTTCCGAATATTAATTCAACATTTTGTATATAAACTTATGTTTTATATTAAATATCTTATTAACAAAAAACAACAAGACACTGAATGAAAAGCGTATCAAAAGTTTAATAGACTATTGAATACATGTATTGAGTGTTTGATACAAACAAATAGACTCTTGGTTTTTGGCACTCATATTAAAAACTCGTATATATTATGTATAATACATTGCAAACATTATTAATTTTGTTGTCAATCACATGGGAAACAATGTAAAACACTTTATGACTGATTATTATGGATTATGTAATGAAATGTTTAGCTTTAATATTCAATACACCAAAAACAAAACAAAAAACTTTTTTTGTATATTAAATGTGAGTATAGTATGTGTAGTAATGGGTTATATATTTGATATTTGGTTATATCCTTGGCTTATTTAACATGTATAATAGGGCTTTTGTAATTCAAATCAATTGCATTATTGTTATTAAATAGACTCTCTCTCTCTCTCAAGACATGTTAAGAGAGAGTATGAGAGAGATTAATGGATAGCATTAATACAATTAATATACATGTAATGGGAAAGGGATAGAGAGAAAAAAGTGGGCGAAAAATATATAACAATAATAAAAATCTCACGAAAAATCATTTTCATATGTAAACCATATTTTCCATTAAACAACTGGTTTTTCATAAATGTAATACATTTCCCATACGCTCGGACGTAACATGTATTTCAAATTAAATGATGAATTTATTTAAACTAGAAAGTTTTACAACACAAATAAAAAAGTTTTCAAACTTTCCCATAGTGTACAAAATAAATATATATACAAGCTATTTGTATAGAAAGTTCATTAATTATTACAAAACATACATAATATTTGTATTGTGAAAAAATAGTAGCAATAATTCAATCAAACCTTTTATGTAATATTGTTTTTCTCAGACTATTTACACAAATACTAACCTACATACTACCAGCTCCTTAAGACTACCAGTCCTTTTGTATAATTATTTAAAAACTTTCCACAATATATATGACATTTGTTTTGTATAAATACTATTGTGAAGTAAAATGTTTTTTATTTGTTTAGAAAAATACATTTTTAATGATTTTGTATTATTATATAAAATAATTGCGAGTTCAATGCCGACCCCATATGGTACCGGTACTTAGAAAATAGCACCATTATATATTTTATATTGTGTTATCAATTGATTACATAATATTAAGTCTAAATTTTTATGATCAGAGAGAGAGAGAGAGAGAGAGAGAGAGTACTGTACTCTGACAGACATACCGTTCCCATCGCTTAAGTCTATCACTGGCACTGATCCAGAATATCCCGGAAAATGCATTAACCCCTCATATTATAAGCCATTACAGACTCACTTAAGCCATTATCTACCTGTGCTCTGAGACAAACTCTATACACTCACACACACATAGATAGAGATAGACATTAAATAGGTGGGAACGGTATCTCTTTGGGAATATTTATCATTAAGGTATAAGTGCTTCATATGTGTGATAAACAATACGCCACTAAACAGTAATGTATGTGTAACCAAACACCGGGGTAATGATTTATTTGTGATAGGCATCTTAATACAATATGTAATATTCATTAAATTAATGAATACATTACGGAATATATCATTGTTTTTGAATATAATTTGTATTTTAAGTGTTAATAAAATATATCGGTTAAAGTCAGTGTACTTTTATTTTGAGTAATTGTACCTGTATATAAAAAATATTATTTCCTTATTTACAAAACACTAGTATTTTAGGCAAATTTTTGATAATAATGTGATAGTCTTTAGGGAACTTTCGAGAGAGAGAGAGAGAGAGAGAGAGAGAGAGAGAGAGAGACTTCAAGATTAGAAAAAGTGTTTAAAATTGCATTTTCTCTCACTTTTTGTTAAACATTAGGTTTTTTCGGAAAAAATATTTTTTCCTAAATTTAATAGTTTTAACTGTTTTTACACTACAGTTCGCTTACATATATGTTGAGAGCACCGGTATGTTATACACGGTTCGCACCGATCATTCACATATGAAATGCGATAATTGTTTTGGCATTCAATCAATTCATTTAATAAGAAAAAAGTTTTGTTAAAAATTTTCGGTTATTTCTTACCAAAAATCACACAATCCTTTTGATCTCTCTCTCTCTCTCTCTCTCTCTCTCTCTCTCTCGATGTCATCGCACTCTCCCTTCTAAGGACTGGTAGGGAAGTCATTGAGAAAGTGTTTATACAGTGTATACAATAATAATACAAACACCATATGATGTACACTATAGACAAACATTTACTTCCCCACATATCGTATAAACAAAAATTATTAACTAGGTAAAAATATAGAATTACAAAAATCGGAAACTAATAAAAAATTTAATAATAAAAGGTTGATATAAAATATTTATAATCTAGCATAAAAAATAAATTTAATAACATCTAATGGCATATAAATCATTGTTAGTATTAATCCTATTTATGTTGGCGTTGGTGACCCCACCCCATGACATAGAGTATACAAGTTGTCTGACATTTCTCACACATATTATACGCAGACATAGCGTATAGTCTTATGTGAGAAAATAGTTGAGAAAATGTATGATTTGTTATGCATTTTAGCACAAAAACCAAATTATTATTTATTACTTTTCATTTTTATTGTTTATTTGTCTTTTCAAATAACTCTCTCAGACTCTCTCAGACTCGCTCTCTCGAAAGTTCCCTAAAGACTATCACATTATTGGCAAAAATTTGCCTAAAATACTAGTGTTTTGTAAATAAGGAAATAATATTTTTCATATTTCTCTCTCTCTCTCTCTCTCTCTCTCTCTCTCTCAAAGTTTAACTGATTTTTCATGAGTAGGTTTTTTATGATAATATATTTCATTATTAAATGTTTATAAACAGACATCCAGTTCCCCATACTATTCCTCATTGAATATACTACTATTTACTACAAGAAAGTTCATACATTACTTGTATAATTAAAAATATACTGTAAAATAGATTTATTGCATAAATATTTAGTTTTTAATGTCATGTATAATATACTATAGTGTGTATTATGTTATGTAAGATTTTGCTAGCTAATAAATCTTAAACATAAGAAATTAATTTTAATGTATATAATATAAACCATTCATACATTTCATGCGTGAAAATACTGTTATAATTATTAATAAAAATATTTTATATCATATAAGAAACCATTCATTCATTTAATATTATTTTTCGTAATAAATCTCTAGTTATCA